ATAGAACAGCCATTATCAATGCATCCCTTTTTTCCAGTGCGGCTCCCAGCCATTCGCATCTACTAGAAAGACCCGGCTTTTTGTAACTCAAGCCTTCAGCCACAACACTGATGAAGTTGCACAGAAAGCTTCTGCAAACCCACTTTGCTAAAAAAAGCTACAGGAAGCTTATTGCAGCAATTCTCCCAAGTTGACACATCCTTCTTACTGGCTTCATGATACTAACTTACTGAACGTTTTGGGTCTCACTTCCTCTAGAAATTACCTCTGATTCCCTGCTCTACTGGGGAAAATTAGCTCAGCAAGAACATTTAGACTCACTGCTCTTAGCAATGGGCCCTGCCATCAGTAAAGCACAGCCAAAATGAAACTAGATTGTGTGTTCCAGGGAAAGGCTTTCAAGAGTAGCTTCTATACAGGGCTTTCTTGCTTCAAGGCCATCCCAAATCACATCACAGGCAGTTCTGATAAGCAACAGCACAGCAGCAGCTCACTGGAGTCTTACAAATAGTAGAGACTAGATCAAGGTCTCTTTCTCTCCTTACCTAGGGCTTTTTAGAACTAAATTAGACTTTTTTTCTTAAGAGAAGGTTGTGTTGGTTTTGCTGGTCCTACCACAGGGCCAAGCGCTGCTGCTGCACATAGAAACATCTATGGGCATCAGGCCTCTACTCACTATTTCTAAAAGTAAAATAAATGATATTAATTTGTTCCTCCAGCACTTGGTGCTTAAAGTTATTTCTTGACAACTTCTGTTCTTGGCATTTAAGCATTTTTCATATTCAGCCCAAGTCTGACAGCACTATTGGTTATCCTTCTCTGCCTCGCTAATAATTTGGTTGATGGCATGCAGGTGGGTTTCTCTTAATTAAAAAACCCATTTGCAAAGTTTGCATTAGGTGATCTGAAAAAATAGAACACTCCACTCAAAGGTTAAATATAAGTGGGCTGCAGAGCTCCATGAAAATATTGCATAATTTAGAGATAAAAATAGCTTTGCTTTATTCAAGCTAGGCTGGATAGGTAGATTTTTATCGCAATCAGCCTAAACCCCATCTCTCCAAGTTGCATGCTCAAGTTGATTACAGAAAATTAAATTTAGTATTAATCAACCTAGGGAGAAGGAAATTACAAAATTAAGCTAATGCATAAATCATGGAAAATAATGGTGCAAACAGCTACAGCAGATCATTTAATGCATCTTCATGCTCTTCCTATACCAGAATCAGCTCCCCCCCAGCCCTCCCAACAGGTACTTGTCCAACCATTATAAAATTCACTCACAACACAGGTACCAGGGCCCCCGCCTCAGCCTTTCTGTCACAGACCTTGTGCGAGCATCCTCCAGCTGTCCTGGTTTAGGCTATCTCCAAATTGCTGCCCTGGTGGGAATGCACAGCAGGACGCAGCAGAAGTGCTCAGTATAACAGATCAGTTGCCAATGGCTGCACTACCCACCCGGCAAGATGTATTTTTCCCTCTCCTTCAGAAAAAGCTAAAAGCAAGCTTCACCTGCTCAAGCAGGTTTCACACTGCTGGAATGCTGTGGCTGGCTGTGTTGCCATGTTCAAAGTCACAGCTTTTCACCCATGCCTTCAGAGGCACCAGTAACTGGCACTAGGGTGTAAGGCGCAGCCTTGCCCTACCTGCTTTGGGGCCACACAGGTGCCCAGAGTCCCTGCACCAGGCAATGGCACTACTAGAGCCCAAGCTATGCAGCCACAGCAAAACACCCCTTGAAGCAACACCAGCAGGCAGGTCCCAGGGAAGCAGCAGCCTCTCCTGGTCACACCAGCAGGCTCTCCAGGACTGACAGGTCACTTGCAATTTTGGGCACACAATTGCAGCACTTTGCACCTCTGGAAAGAGAGCAAACCCAAATACCTATATAGCTATAAAGAATCTGACTTTAGGAATACCTATTCTTGAACGCCTCTTGGTTTAGGAAGAAAAGTCTACACACTGATTGTGTCTTTTTGTGCCAGTTTATCTAACACATAGCAGTGAGTCAGGACTGCAGAGCAGTCCCCATCCCATTTAAGCTTGTATAGTAAGGAAGCATTTAGCTCTGAAGGCACATCACAGCACAAGAATTTTCTAAGCTAAATCCTGGTGTTTTACTCCTTCCCTAATCTTGCTAAGCAGGAAACATACAAGTCTGGACAGTCTTTATCAGCTGAGGGTGTGGGAGAGCAGTTTAGATGAACTACATTGCTTTCTTCCTCAAAAAAAAAAACATCAATTTGGAGACATTAAACAGAAACGTGAAGTTTTAAGAGTTCCCTCTAGTCACTTCCAAACTTTTTTTCTAATATCTTTTTCTAATCTCTTTGAACTCCCATCTTCTGTAGTTTAATCCAGTTTGTTTAGGATTAAGTTTTTCCAACAAGACACTGCGTATGTTTATGCACGTTATACACACACAAACATCCAACACCGAATGAATTAAAAATCATAATCCTTATAAAGAGCCATAACAATTTCCAGTTCTCTGGAATCAAGAATAAAGGAATTAGCAGCATGATTAAGGCTGAAGTCAGAAAGCATGTCTCTGAATGAACTCCCAAAGGGCTTTGCTGAAAGCTTCCATCTCGGTTTTCAGGCAATTGCCCCTGTTTTGGTGTTTGTTTGGTTTAATTGAAGCCATGTCAGCACGAGCAGCCCCCCCATTCAGCCGGCTCCAACCTCCCTAATCACACAGGTGCAAACAAAAGCACACCAGCACAGCGGCTGTTAAACCAAACAGGCACATAGCCTTGTGAGGTCTGCGTGTTTCTATGGACCTAAGCAACCATCTTTCCGCCTCCACAAAACCGAGCAGGCACTGGGGACACGGAGCAGCAGCATCAGCGCTGAAACACCAGGCAAGCCACTGAGGCAGGCAGAGCCCCTCTGTGCTCTGCAAACACGGCACCCAAACCACTGCTCTGATAGAGAACATGAGCCCCTGCAAACAGCCAAGGAAACACTGCCAGCTCCCTCAGCAGCCTCAGCCCATCACCGTGCCTCACACTCCACCTGCAGCACAGAGGGGCTGGGGTCACTGGAGAAGCCACCCTACCCCTATGGGGTGCTGCAGGCCACCCCAAGTAGGGCAGCCAGCCAAGGGTTTCCCTGGGATCCCTGTGCTTCCTAGCAGAGAGGGCCAGGCTCATCCCACACCATTGCTCAGCATGGGGAATGCTGGGCTCAGACACGGTAACACATAGCTCTGCTGCAACCAGTGATGGAGGCTCATCAGACCCCAAACAGGAGTCACAGCCCTGTCACTTTCTCAGCAACATGCACTAGTGCTGGACTGAGTGAAAGCTCTCACCATCAGACAATTCTAGCTCAAGAGCTAGCACTAGCACAAGCTGCAGGGAGAAAGCAAGGCACCTCCTGTGATGCCCTGTAAAAAAACTGCCAGAGACTGCACTCAGCAGCACAAGTAATTGCTGAGTTCAAGGGGTAAAAATAAACAACATGTCTGAAATGGGAAGTCTATGGACATTTGAGAGAAGCAGGGGGGACAGCCGGGCAGCTGAGACCACATGGGCCATGAAGCAGCCCAGGAAACTTCCCTCGAAACACTGCAAATCCTACTGGTGTTACTCCTTACAAAGCACTTGGGGAGCTGCTGATGAAAACTGCCTTGTAGAACAGGAAAGGGTCCTTTGTTCTGAGGGTACAGACATGAGTTGCAGAGGATAACCACAGCACAGCCGGGTCATTAGCAGAACACAAACATTAACATCCAGGAAAAATACAACACCCCAGTGGGCTACAGGGAACCGCAATTTGTCTACTAAATGTTCCTGTGTTCAGAGACACACATGCATAAACAGAACACAGATGACATCCCTGCAATGCTGCTAAGGGTATCATCTGTCCAGGCTGTAGAATGATGTAGAAGAGAGATTTCATACCTCCTCAAGCAGCTTTCTACAAGCAGCACTAGCTGCATACACCCTTACTGGAATTTGTGTGATGCTGAAGAACTACATTATTGGAGTGCACAGGACTGTAACCTGCCAGTCACAAGTTAAGGCTAAAGCTAATTAAATGAGTTATGGAGGCAGATGACATATGATGCCTTGCTCCAGCACGTCAGCTCTTCTAGCACCTTCCCCTTTTGACTGTGGACATGAAAGACATGACTACCACACATCCAAGATTAGGGCAGTATTTCATGGTACAGGACTGCTTTTCCACTTTTGGGATCAAGGTGAAAGATCAAGGAACACATGGAAGACTGTGGCAGGCAAACAGGAAAACTCTCAACTGCAATACTGCTACAGTCTGCCATCAGTCCTTTTGCTAGGCTGGCAAGATGAGAGCTGTTGTGGGGTGCTGAAAGCTGGGTGCCTTGTGACTCAAGTGTATAGGGGCTACTGAGCTGCACTGAGGCACTGCACAATTCATCTGGACATGTGAGCACCTTTTAGAGTTGTTTTTTGCCTTTGGCAATCTACAGTGGAACTACCCTAACTTCAGCCTTACCCTTCAATATCTTGGGAAGACTCTCTAATGACGTAACCCACTGGGCACTTATGAACTGCCTTTTAGTGTCAGAGTAGTTCATGACAACTGCTTGTTTACATATTGGAATGTGTGTCTCTGTGAAGCAAGGTGGTATGATCCGAACAGATGTAAGGCAGGCTCCCAGATTCCTCTGCAAGCTGAGAACTATCTTGAGGCTGATACCACTGAGGGCAACGACTTTTTCTTAGGTTCACTGGAAGATCAGAAGACCTTGAAAAATTACTACGATTACATTTACTTTAAGTCCATGCGACTTTTCAGGGCACAGATTTCCCCTGCAAAGAAGTAAAAATTTATTAATAGACTGAAATATTTTCACATAGGAAACAGGGAAGCAGGAATGCTACTAACCTTGAGAACATGAAGACCAGCCTCTTGCCTTTTTCCTCCCAACTGCAAATCAATCATCCACTTGGCAGAAAGCTTTTAATCTTATGCCACTTATCAGCAGTAATCATCCCACTTTTTATTTGGAATTTATGAACAAGTATTCTATTATCTTAATAAAAGCTCAAATGCATAGACCTACAAACATCAGGCACCTTAGCACACACCAACACAGGACTCCCACCTATAGCAACCTTCTTTATGCTGTAGAGAAGTCAAGACCACCAGGATTGATATCCATGGTGGAGATACCCAAGTAAGTATGAAGTGCCCACCATGCCATCACTTGCTACCTTTACAGCTACTACTGGAAAGCACAGCTCTCACACCATACTTATATTTCATCCAGCTCTGGAACATGTCATACATACTTCACAGGTTTGAAATCCTCTTGGCTTCCCTGTCAGAAGCGTATCAAATGTCTTAATGCAACACTGCGTAAGAGGTTGTCCATGCATCCAGACTATACATGACTTAATTTAATAAGCAATCCAAAGTCCCTGAGTTACACATCACCTCCTTACACCATTTCTCCAGAAGTCACTGCGTGCTTTTTCTTTCACCAGTTAACACTGCTCTTCCGTAACAGCACCCATGGGTGATCGCATGAGGCATGCCACCCTCTTGTGTCCAAGAGAAGTTTCACTAGTTCCACCCGAAAGCAGGTATCAGGATAGCACTTCACTAGACCAGAGGAAAACAGCCCTCAGGTGTTTGAGCACAGTCTCTACTAAACCTTCTTTGTTGTTGCTGCTGTTTGCATTTAGAAGAAAGTTCAGTAATTCATACTAAGCAAGGAACTTCTGCCAATTAGAAGCAATTTTCAACAAGTAATCACAATAGAGTACCAAAAGCACAAGTATCAAATGGAAATAACATGTAAACATATGTGACATAGTAGTAGATTCAATTAACATGAACAACCACAGAGACAACTCACAATTCAGAAATAGCCTTTTGTCATGAAGTCTTTATGGCTTGACAGAAAAAAAAGTTAGATTTGTTTTTGAAATGGTTAGTGCAATTTTTTATTTGAGAGGTCAGCTATAAGAATTAAACATATGAATCCAGTATGACACCTCAGCTTCCAAGTTGATTTTTAACCTGATCTGAAATATGGCACTGGACTTTTATCTAGAGTCAAGGCATTTGTGATCTCAGAATAAAACCACAGCTATTTCCCCCCAGGAGATGGTGGTAGTGGGGTTCTTTAAGGGATCATTCATATTTCTTATAAAACAGATGAAGGAAAGCCTAGCAGCTTAACAGCATCAGAAGTGCAGCTGAGTGCTTGGCCAGTACCTCTGCAATCCACATATCCATCCATACATAATTCATTTGGAAAAGTGAATGAAGGAAGGAGAAGGCAGCCTCATTGAAGAGATGGGTAATGCAGCATTTGATAACAGTTCTTTCCTGGAAATTCAGACTCCTACAATGTAGCCTTAGGGTTTTACACAAGGAGTGACTACAAACAGCATATTGCCCCAGTACTGTCTGAATTCAGATCCTACTCTCCTGCCATTTCATGCAAAGCAAGAATGAATAACTAAGCTTCTATGCAAAAATCACTGTCACTTTCCTTGACAGTGATGGTGTTAATGGAGAATTTTTAAGTAGCATACACCTTCTTGGAACCAGAAGTCAAGCTTCAAGACACTCACCGTGTCTTCCAACTTTTAGCTGAGTTACCTATTCTCTGACTCAGGAGACTGGGTGCTGGAGCCACCATTTCCTTACACTTATTGCTTTTACAAGCTATATTCATTCCAAGGACACCCAATTCACTAGAGCATCTTTGCTCTTTCCCTTCATTTATCTTTCAAAACAAAGAACTCCCATCAACCCTAATAGAAATCAACATATGCACGCATAGGACATAGACCTTTTAAGGCTACATGGCTGACCAACAGAAAAATACATACACGTAACTGAAATTTTCTTCCATTTAGCAAAAGGTACCAAGTTTTAATTGAGACACGTCAAGCTGTTACCCTTACTTTCTTAAATTCACCTTCTCCCCCTTCCCCCTTAATGAGTGGGGAAGACTTCACTGTGCTTCCCTAAGCAAAATAAGAAATAGATCACATCAAGTTTGCTCCATAGACCAAAAGGTAAAAAAACCAACAATAAAGGACAAACTGGTTCACAGTTAACTATAAATAAAAGTGCAATAAGTGTTCAAGTAGAGTGTAGAGTTTAAGCAAGCTGTACAACCACATTTGGCATAGTCATCTTTTAAAGGCTCTGCGTGGGTCCCTCCCATTACCAACAGGGAGAAAAGGCTGAACACTATTAGCTGGTGCTGGATTTACAGGTCCTCGTCCATTGCCTCTCCCACTACCTGCGTAAGAGTGGCCGTGATTATATGTAAATGGAAATCCACTTGATTCAGGTCCAGTTTGTAAACCATTTCCTACAAAGACAGCAAAAAGGTTATCAGGAGTTCCACAGACTGAAATCACTGCTCCCTTACATAAGTTTAGCAACAGTGAATGCATGGAGTTTGTGGCAACCAGCAAACCCCAAGCAGCAGAAGAAAAAGCCCCTCTGGTACTGCAAGAGCTTACCTTTTGCACCCTCCTAAACTACCTCCCCACCTTCCCTACCTCCACTCCCAACTGAAGCAAGAAAGGTCAGAGCTGCATGCCAGTTCTTTGCCCAACAGAGACTGGAGTCCTGTGAAACTAGACTGGTGCTTTCAAAAACATGCATTGGCTTGTAGCTCACGCACCAAGATGCTCCAGAGAGACAGCAGGGCAGCAGAAGCCAAGAAGAAATCAGCAAAAGCAGACTACACAAAGTTCCTTGTGTCATTCCCCACTACCAGGAACACAGACATAGAAAGCTGCCTTGTCAAGTCCAGCCACAGAAGCAACTCAGCTAGCACCAAGTTCTCATGAACTTAAGCCTTATAAGCATCACTGCTCATGTTTTGCTGGTAAGAAGAGGGACAGAGCTGAAAAGGCAGAATGATGACAGGAAGCACAGGGAGAGAAGGAAGAGACAAAAGGAAATCACTGCATTTAAAAAACACAAAAGAAGCAGGAATAAACCACCAGAAGTTTCAGAAGATATGCTCATGTTCAGTACAACAGCTGTCCACAACCCAAAGCAGGGGCAGTAAGGAATCATCTACACACTAACTGGGCTGAAAGTGAAAGCCTACTCGCCTCCCCCTGGCACTGAGGAAAAACTGGCCTGAAAGCACTGAACCCCTTTGCTCAGGATAATTTATTTTCAGGGGAACAGAAAGAGCTTGTTTTTAATATCAAGTTATGGAATCAGTTTGCTGTCACCAGCAGGGTTTCGCTATACAGCTTCAGGTACTGAGTCTGGACATGAATAGTTGTAAGCTGAGAAGGAACCTCAAGTTCTTGAAGCATTTTCTTATTTAAGCTTCAATGCTTAAATAAATCACAAAATAATCCAACCAGGTCAAACACTGGAATTCAGATTACCACCACTTCTGTTCTGGGGAGCTAAACTGGCAGGAAAGCCATGGTGATTGGCAAGACTGAAGTATTAAAGTTTAAAAAAAACCCAGAACTTCAAGTACTGCAAAAACACTTTGAAACCATCAAAACAATCTAGGATCAGTCAAGTCCCTTCACATAATACAGGCACCTTGAACATTCTGATCTCTTCCTCTTCCAGGGAAGAAATCCTGAAACCATTATCCATTAAATGTTCATGCTTATGTGCTTGCAGATTCAGGCCCCAGCCTAAGAGACTTTTTAGAGCATAGTATACTTTTGCCCCAGAGTGGTGAAACCTTAGCAAGATAAATTTCTTTTTATTAAGTGTTTCTCATCCTTTCACTTCCACAAAATGAAAAAACTTACCCAATGGCCCAAAAGTACATGAACTCATATTACTTGATGCAGAACTATTATTCTGTTCACCCTGTGCCTTCAGAGAAAAGAAAAGGAAAAAAGAAAAAAAAAAAGAAAAAAAAAGAAAAAGAAAAAAGGCATGGATAAGAGAAATTTCACATTTTTACAGGAAGGAGAAATTTCTCCTGTGTTCTTATTGTGAATCCATATGGAATTTATCTGCTACTAGCAATTCATTCATTTTTTATCTATCAAGTCCATTTTTCCAAGAGTCACACCTGATCCCAGCCTGGTATGAAATACTCAGAACAAACAGCACTTTATGCCAGAAGCCTCAAACAGTTTTAACATACCAGTTTGTTCTGCCCCATGTGTTCTGTGTTGGGCTCGCTGAAGTTTGGCACTTCTGAATATACCATGCAGAACCTGGGGAGAAATTAGGATGATGAGGTAGTTCTAAAGCCTAAGGTTCTGCAACTCAAATGTTAACACCTCCCATCACCTAGAAATAACTAATCCAGACCCCACCATTAGCAAGAATTCATAGGTACTAAAAGGCTCTTTGAACCTTTTATGGCTTGTGGTAAAGCTGCCACACCTTCCTGGGGAGGGTGTTTGTTTCAGTCAAGCAGAGGCAAATACACAGTTATCTAGGAGGTAAAATGGCCTAAAGAAAACGAAAGGTGATGAAAGGGCTCCATCCACCTCTCTTCCAGCTGCACAGTCTTGGCCAGCACCCACTCACAAGGTTACCTGAGACAGTCACCCAGTCTGCTCCCAGATTGTGACTCCATTAGATCTCTAGGGAAAACTTTTATGTTCCCACACACTTCCACATGATGGAGTGCCCCATTAACATAACAGCACAGAGGAATCCAAAACAGGGAATGAAAACATCCTTTTCCACCCAAGGGGACTATGAAGGAACAGGCCCACCAACTCATCACATGGAAATTATGGCAGAGGGGAAGAAAGATTTGGATCATTACACAGCTTGGAGTGACTAAGAAATGGAGCACTCCCCTCCTGCTGGGAGGCACAACCCAGATAAGGACTCGCCTCTCTGCAGCCTGCTGGAAGGTAAGCAAACTGGCTGATGCTTCTGAAGCAACAATGGTTTTATACCAAAGGAAATCTACAGGTCATCACTTACAAAATCCAGCTGAATATGGGATATTTCTGAACCATCCAAGAAGAAAGGTGGCCACCCCAGAGTCCCACTTCCCTGATCACAACAAGGCCTTCCACAGCTCTTTGTGCAACCACAGTAGCACTCTTCCGGTTAGAAAACTGTTGCTATTTCTTCCTGTTGTTTGTCGAGTGTGTTACTCATGCTTGTTCTTAATCAGGAGGAGTCACCACCTCAGTTTGTGGGCAGTTTAAAGAAGGTTTAATGAAGCTTGCTTCTGTTTAGATATGATTCACTGGAGTTACCTCTCTCTTCCTTCTTTGCACTGCCTGTCTCTCAAGCATGATACACACACACCAAAATAAAGCGGCTAATCAAGCTGAGGCCTAGGTAAGAAATGCAGATTAAGTCCCTTGTCATTTATACACCTTCTCCCTCTAGGTAAAAAACAGACCTGTGCCAGTAATGGAGGCTGATTTTCCTCAACCTACCTAGAATTCAGAGAGGGTCAGAGCTCATTACCACATGGACACTTGCACCACAGTTGCCTGTGCTGTACCTATTCATGACCATGTACTAAGAGCCACCATGTCTCGTACTTACCACGATGCTCTAAGAGGACACAACACCACAAGTATGAACATACAATACTTACTCCCCAATTTTATGCAGCTCCCCTCCTCGTCCTGTATAAAGTGTCAGGCATCCTTTCCACAGGGATGCATACCTGGCCAAAGAAAAGGGAAGCAAAGCAGTCTTAGTGAATCAGAATTACCACTGCTGAAGAAAGCGGAGGTGTGCTGTCTTCCGTGAGTTAATAAGTATTACATACCAACATAAATGGATTAAAAAATTTCCCAGGGACTCCAACTTCACTGAGCTAGAAGTTGATGGATCCCCATATTTTACTTCTAGCAAAAGGTACTGGAAGCTCAGGTGACTCTTTTGGTAATTCCAGGAAAGCAGCCAATTATGAGATTGGATGCTTCTTCCTTGGCTGAAGCAATCCTTATGACTAGTCCTGCAGAGGAAAGGCATTTTGCCAAAAGTGGTATAGCAGCATCTGTGTTACCATTCAGAGATAACTCTCAGTATGAGCCAGAAAGAATCACCTTTGTTCACTGTATATATAGATACTACTATAGAATGAGTATGACAAGAAGCGCTTACTTTTTCGGTATAGGTCCTTACCAGATATATGTGTTGGGGGGTTTTAAGGCACAAGTTTGACCATCATGTTCCAAGTGAAGTGTAGAAATGCAATGAAATCATTTTTGGATTGCAGAAACATTCACTTACAAGACAGCATGAGAGCACTCCGGTCTTTATAGTGGCACTTCAAGCACTGGAATTTAAGTGATGCAAAACTTCCTGCATAATTGTTCGCTTCGGTGAGGGGCATCATGTATAGGAAGAAAATAATGAAAATACAGACCAGAAACCCAGGAGCAATGCAAGGGAGTTAACAGGACCATGGGTGTCTTCTAGCAAAGGAATAGGGAGCCCCAGCAACTGCACTCTCAGGAGTCACAGATAATCTGGAGAAGGCACCACTTTATTATGCTCCAGGTCTACCTCTAGAACACAGATAACCAACCTTCCTCTTGCCCTTTGCTTTATCTGCTGAGACTGGGAGCCATCCAGTTGCACACAGAGCCTCAAAGAGAGGCACCAGGGAGGAATCAGGCCAGCAGAACAGGACTGCAATGCCAATACAATGATAACCTTCTCTGTACTTCAACATGAGCAGTAAAGCATAGTATCTACATTTACAGTGCCTATCTTGGGAGTTTTCCATCCAGAAGCAGGATTAATGTGCTTCATAAAGCTACCTTCCACTTTAAAGATTCCCTTTATGCATAACCTTTAATAACCAGCTAGTTGGACAGTCTTGTGGCAGAGCACAAGGGAACAGAGCTACCAACTAAGCCAAACATACATTTACTGGGACAAGATTCAGCACATCATGGGACTGATAACTTCCAGCACAAAGTTATTCCACATATGCAAGCATTTGTTTTTGTCTCAGGAAGAGTTGGCTATAAAGCACAAAATTCCAGAACTTACTTCAAATTTAGAAAATCTTAACCACAACAGCTACTTGTAAATGGGTTTAATCAGCCAATGACAAAAATCAGCCACAGTGTCTGCTCTGCAGAGGAATGCATCTATAAAACTTGAAATTCAGCAGAAAAAAAAGAGATATGTTTTCATGTGGGGTCTAACTAAGCTTTTCTACTTATAATAGCGTGCATCTTGAAAAGTGAGATTAGCCTACAGAGCTGAAACTTACCTGCCGTTTAATGGCAACATCACATTCTCAGTCCTATTTAAGTACAGGATCGTGTTTGGAGAACCCTGCATGGCAGCACGAGGGCATTTTTTGAGCTTCTGCAATTTCACTCACTACATAGTCCTAAGTAAACATGCAATTCATTTAAATGAAGGCATGACTTAGCCACCCACCAGAACAGTGATGTCAGCTCATGAATTTAATTCACACAAGCCAACTTCACTTTTCAACACAAAGGGGTGCAATGACCCTCCCATTTGTTGCACTGAAACACCAGAGCAGCTACTGCAAGCCAGCCACAGTGACACTGCTGAACAGTGTCATTAGTTTGTTTCAACGTCATCTACACACAGGGCTTTGTGCTGGCCCAAGCTCTGATTTAGTTCCACCCACAGTGCCTCAGCACTCCACGTGTTCTTCACGCAAGCAGGCTTCCTCAGAACCACCTCTGCTGAGGAGTCAGGCTCTCTCTTGTAAAAGGACATTAGCATAGTAGGAAGCAGCTGTAGTTTTGGTGGCAAAGGTTATCCTATTTCATGTCAAAACCAAAAATTACACTCAGATAAACAAGAGCAGCTCAGTTAGCAGCTCCACTGAGTAACCTTTTACCTACTTTTTCACAAAAACAAATTAAGAAGATCTTACACACTGTGTAGCTCCACCACCTCCTGGAGTGCTGTAGGCCAAGGGATCAATGTAATGCATTTCTAAGTGTAACTTAACTGGCATAAAGAACTCAAATTAAAATGACTTAACACTTTGCTATTGACAACTTAAGTGACATGGTAACGGATTTTCAAGCTGAATCTAGTATGTTTTCTTACAACATAAGGTTTTGGTTTGGAGATTTTTTCAATTAAAACAGCTCTGAAATAAGTTAACTGCACCTCACCAAACTAATAATGCTCTATAATGTAGCCATAGCATGAATGTTTACAGTAAAACTGAAAGGTTCTCCTCTGCCTGTCATTTCTGTTAAACCCATTGCAATGAAAATCAACTTTTCTGCATGAGAGAGATTAATCATCCCCTTCATCCATTAAGGAGCCGACTGCTAGAGTAAAGAATTGGCTGTGAAAATAAAAACATGCTTTTGACTTCCCTGTTTGATTTACATACCAGGACTGACTGTTGTATTCACCCCCCACCCCAAAAGAAGTATTTTCCCTGACAGCTATTTCTAAAGCCAAACCAAGTCTCCTATTAAACACCACCTCCTCATTAAAAATACAAGCCCCTCCTAGCCGTCTACCTACTATATGCTCAAGCCAGGCGCATTCTGGGGTGGAAAAGGTGGTGGGATCTCAGGGTGCCACCTGGCTAACAAGAGAGCCGGGCCAAGGGTGTCCAGCTCTGTCATCCGCTCCTCTCAAGAGGCTGCCGAGCTAATCAGAACCCCGCACCTCCACCTCATTGACAAAGGACTCCCCGACCCATCGTGCCCTGGAACGGAGCGCAGGCAGCGCCCGGCCGGTCTGGGCAGCGGGGCGGCGGGCCCGGCCCCGTACGCACCCTTTAGTCAGGCGGATGATGTCCCCCGGCTGGATGAGGCCGCCGATCTCGTCCCACACGGAGATGGTGATGCTGCCCGTCTTGTCCGCCACTTTGCAGGACCTCACCTCATGCCCGTCCTTCGTCTTGGTGACTCGCCCTGCAGGGAGAACGGCGGATCAGGGGAGCCGGGGGGGCGTAGGCACGGCACATAGCACGGCCTGGCCCCGACAGCCCCCCCCCCCCCCCCCCCCCCCCCGGGCGACACGCATGGGCGGCCCGGGGGTGGGGCGTGCCGGACGCCACTTACCGATCTCCAGCACAATAAAGATGACATTTAAGTTTTTCAGTCCGGGTTTTATGTCTTTTATAAGGAAGTATGTATCGCTCGCCGCGCTCATAATGCGGCCGGCAAGGGGGGCAGGGCTGACGGGGCGGGCCGAGCCCGCATCCCGCGGGGGAACAGCGGCAGCAACGCAAAGCCGGGCAGGGGGGCACCGGCAACCCTCACAGGGGACGGGGACACGAGCACAGAGGGGCTGCGCGGTAACTCTGCGGGCACCCCGACCCCCACAGCTCCCAGTCCGGACCAACACTACGAAGAAGCCCTCCCACACCCTCCCGCTCCCGCCGGCACTGAGGAGCACATGTGCGCGGCGTTCGCATTTATGGCAACAGGGCGAGACCACCCCGGACGCCGGGTGGGGGGAAGAAGGAATGACAGTGCCGAATGGAACCGTCCTGGGCACGCGGAGCGCCGGGACTGGGGAGCGAGCTAGAGCCGCACGCTGATTGGGCCGCCCTGCGGCCATCTTGTATTGGTCGGGGAGCTGACGAGAGAGATGTGGTGGCTGCTGAGGCGAGCCGAGCCGAGCTGGGTAGGGCAAGGGCTGGGGTGAACGTTCCTCGGGAGCAGCCGTGGCTTGGCTCTTTCATTCACTCACTGCGTTTATTTCTTCCGCGAAACAGCCCAGCAGCACCCCGAGTGCGGGCAGAGAAGCAGAGGGCTGTTAAGTAGCGACTCGCCTCCTCGTCGCGCCATTTTAAGTCCTGGTTGTGACACCGAGAGAGGTCTTGCGGAGATTTCTTGGGGGCCGAGTTCTCAACAGTTCCGGCCTCATTCGCTGAAAATACACATTTAGGAAGAGGATGGGTTTATGGGAGTGCCCGCTAGGGGTGGGTTTGTTTTTATTCGGGGGAAGTGTCCCCACCAAGCAGAAATGACAGTTGCAGGGACTGAAGGGGGGAGCAGAAGTGCTGTGTGGTACCTCAGGGCTTTGCAGGGCTGCACCGCAACCTAGTAGTACTGGGACTACATGTTCAGTGGATGTAGGGAAAGCTCAGGGTTATGCAGAAGTTTATTGTACTGAAAATGTGAGTCAAAGTCCTCTTGAACACTGAAAACACTATCAAAGTGCCCTGAACTCTTAAACAGGAACCTTCTGGGGAGACAAGTTATCTGACGTTGGTTAGAGGCTGGGTCAACCATGAGGGGCGGGCAGCATCTCCATGGGGAAGGCTGGTAAGATGGTGGACTAACAACAAGTTCCCCCAGCCTTGTGATGGTCTTGGCTGGAAGGTTCTGAGGAAGTGGCTCCCTGCCACAGAACAGCCCAAAGAGATGCAGATGAATTACAAATTCAGCTCTCCCCCTTAGGAAAGGTAGCAGGGTGCAGAATGTGGACTTTGCTTCTCTTTTCCAGAGCCAGACTTAGCTAGTTGGGCTTTCACCTTCTGTAAGCAGAAATCCATAGATGACAGCAGTTGTGAAATTCTTGGCCACACATTCTGCCACATTGGAGCCTTGGTCGAACTTGTGCAATGCTTATCTGTAGGCAGTGGAGCAGCGCTGCTGGGTACAACTCGGAGCTTGGAATAAAACGTGCTGCTTGCAGGAATCTGAAAGGAAAGTGACATGAGCCACAGGAGATTTTGCTTGAAGTCCCAAAAAGCTTACTCCACATCTGTCCTGAATCATTCAGTCAGTGCATATGGGGGGATGACAGACTCCCTCAGTGGCCTCTCTCTTGACTGGCTCTGTAAATTTAAACTGGTAACGCTAAAACCTTCAGAGTGATCAGCTGTATGTCAATGCATGAATAGCTTTAATTTAGTCAATTCAGAAGGAGTTCAATCCAAACTCCAGCAAAAACAGTGTCCCTGGCAAAGGCTGCAGAAAAATTGCTGTAGAAGTAGCAAAAATTTTCTATACAGATGAGATTTTTCTGCCCTCCTCTCTACCTTTTGTCTGCCCCATATATTTTGAGCCCTTGAGAAAGAATCACTTTGCACCCTGTGTATTCAACCGCAAGTACAGTAGGACCCTGTCTTGGATCACTCCAGGTGCTACCAAAACATGACTCTCAGTACCAGAATGTCTGGAACAGGACAGCCAAAGGCCATATACTGCTCTGCTTCAGGAAGCAAAACCCAGTGGAAAACCTCCGGAAGAGGACAGCCAAAGGCCATATACTGCTCTGCTTCAGGGAGCAAAACCCAATGGAAGACCTCCGGAGCAGGACAGCCAAGGGCCATATACTGCTCTGCTTCAGGGAGCAAAACCCAGTGGAAAACCTCCACAACAGGTCCCAGCTCTTGTGTTCTGACTTAACAGGAAGTGAGAAAAAAGGGAGAAGGATCATAGAGCAGATCTCATTGGAGATTTGAAGAGAATCCTTCATTTTGTATGAAAAAAATACCTTATGGCAAATGTTGGGTAGAGAGGAAGCCATGAGGGTGGTTAGTTCAAAAGCAAAAACCCTAATGCATGCTTCACCAAAACACACTTCTAGTCATAAGTCACTGGTAAGGTAGTTTCAGGGGGACATCTGTCCAGGAAGACAAGTGTCGGTGTAATACAGGAGCTGAGAGAGGTGCGAAGGGCACCAGACATGGGCTACCAAGCCACCTTGCAGTTCTACTCAGTATACTTGCACACAAGCTACCTTTGTGTCAGGGAGTGTTTCTCTGCAACACATCATGCCCAGGCTGCCTGGTGTTCACCACACAAGCCAAATTTAGCCTGTAGTGCATGTCTGCAGCAAGGGTTCCACTGATGAAATTAAATCTCTTTCCAAGCTCATTTGCTTGCTGCGGAACATTTTTCTTCTGTGTGCAGGATGCAGCTGTTTGTAGGCTGAGACTCATGAGAGTGTTTCAGTCCAAAGCAAAATCAGGGTTGAGTTTTAAAAGAGTTCTCTGCAGTCACAAGTCTGGCAGAAGTCCCATGCACCTCAACAGGTCTGGAATTTCACCCTCTGGCTGTAATGCAGTTACTCTAGCACAGACATCGGTCCAAACTGCCTTTTTTCTACCGGTTGCTCAGTATTCAGTGCTTCTGGAGTCCCAGAGCAGATCTTCCCACAAGAAGTCTGCGAGCAAGAGCTGATGTTTAATATTTTATTGTACACAGATACTAAAAATGTACAGAAGCCTGCAAACACCACCTTTAACCAAGTCTTACCAGCCCGTTACCATACATCTGACAAGCTCCTAAATGAAGCTACAGGTTCAGTCAGCTGGTTTTTAACATTGATGACACTTTAGCTCCCTGATGCCACTTCACAGTGGCAGCCAGTCCAGCATTATGGAGACCCCAGAAAACAATGGTTTGGTTCCTTCAGCATCTCTTAAGCACCCCGTGTTCAGCCACTGGGGTCAAGATTTCCCTCAAGGAAATATGAATGACTTCAGGTGAAGCCACACGGGCTTGAGGGGAACATGAGCCAGAAGTCAGATGCCTGAAGCAGGAAGGGCTGTGGGGTGTCTGACGCCAGGATTTCAGGCAGCTTTTTCTACCACCTACCTAGCTGTTAGCTGAGTGAGCTGACTGAGTACCACAGCATCACACCGTACCACAAGAGAAAAAACCAAACAACTAAAAATGAGAGAAAAAGCAACTGCAAAGTAAACATTCTGAATTTGCAGCAATCTTTCCAGAGGAGCCACATGCATGTCCTGCAGCACTAATGCAGCCTTTTCATCTTAGGCAACACACGTTCTAGCAGATGTTTAGGATGGACTTACATGAAATCCCTGATGTGGGGCAATTCTAGGCAACTTCCCTGCTCAGCTGTGAATCTGGGCTTGGACCACAGGAATTTGGATCAAAATTTCTTCCATACAGATGGAGACATAGGAGTTGGTGTGGCTTCATCTTTTCCATGACAGATCCAAAGGTCAGTGCAGGGGGCATGTCAGGGACATGAGCTGGAAGGAGTGGGAGAGAAGGGCGGCCTAGAGGGAAGATCATGAGGGGAGATGGGTGGCTGTGAGGTGTGATAGGCAGTCATGAGGGGAGATCATAAGGTGACAGAGGGGCAGCCATGATGGAAAATCATGAGGGGAAAGGAGGGATGGCCATGAGGAGTGAAGGGTGGTCATGAGGGGAGAGGAGGTGCAGACATGAGAAGTTGTAAGGGGAGAGGAGGGTCAGCCATGAGGGCAGATTGTGAAGGGAGAGGAGGGACAGCCATGAGAGGAGATTATGAGAGGGCAGGAGGGGCGGCCATGAGGCAAGATTATGAGGGGAGAGGAGGGGTGCCCGTGAGGGGAGATTGTGAGGGGAGAGGAGGGGCAGCCTTGAGGGGACGTTATACGGGGAAAGGATGGGCAGCCATGAGAGGTGAGGAGCCATTGTGAAGAGAGATTGTGAGGGCAAAAGAGAGGCAGCCATGAGGGAAGATTATGAAGACAGAGGCAGGGGCATCCATGGGGGGTGAGGGGTGGCAGCTATACAGTGTGGGCCACTATGGGGGGCAAATGAGGGGTGACTGCGAGTGGAGGGAGATCTTGAGGGGCAGCCATAGGTGGAGATCAGTTTGTCCTTAGTGACACAGTTTAAGGGTTGGCTTGGTAGTCCTGAGTAATGGTTGGACTTAATGATATTAAAGATCTCTTTCAACCAGGTTGATTCTGTAATTCTGTGACTACGCACAAGAAGTCTCAAAAGATTTGTGGGCTTTAAAACTAAACTCACAGCTGCTGTTATTCGGGTCTCTAACAAGTGCTACAGCAGAAAACAGATCTCACAACTTTGCTCCTTCATCAGACTGATCTCTTCTTAAAAGGTTTAACAAGTGCAAATGGAGGGATTAGCACTTTCCCACTGTAGCTGTGCCAGAATAACCCCCCACTGTGATCATGAAGACACTAGTCACAGTTGCCTAAACCAGTTCAGTAACTCCTGTTTACATGGGGAAAATAGATACAAGCTTTACCCCAGCAAAAACATGGAGTGATCCCTTGAAGCAGCCCCACTGCCGTGGTTGGTTGGCTGGTAAGAGAGGCAGGTGCTTCAAGTCAGAGGAAGAAGGCAGTTCCAGTGGGGCACAGAGCTGTCTGCACAGACCTCTCTGCCTTTCCGCCAAGTGAGCTGAGTCACTAGTTTCACACAGACATGGCTCAGCGCAGGGCAGTCAGCACTAGGGAGTTGTCTGAAGTGGCTGAGAAACCTTAAAATACCAGCGAGGCAAGCCCTTTCCTACTGGTGTTTGACAGAGAAAGGCAACATTTCAAATTGCTTTGCAGCTGCAATCTCCTTTTACCAGCCCTTGTGGGCTAGCTCTCCAGTTTGTCCCATGACACCC